CAAATGAGTTAATACTTTAAAGCACTTAGCACAGTGCTTGGCCCATAGTGGGCACTTAAAAAAGGCTTCCTTTCTTATTTCTTTCCTTCTTTCCTTCCTTTGCAAGTCTAGGACTGGGTGATCACCCTTATTTGCCATACCCTTGGAATGGTGCTGGTGAATAGAGACCAAAAAGGTACTTTATCAAACAACTGCTGCCATATCTCCTTTACATTGAGGTTGACCATCACTTTCTGCTATAGATAAAGCATCAGCCTCTTCAGACTCCAGATAGCTATATTCAACCAACCCACTGGAGAGACTGGTTCTAATGGCCAAAGTGAGGTTAGAAATTCTGGTTTATTGTAAATCTTATTCTGGATGCCAATGTTTCAGCAGAATGGTGGGCTAGGATGGGCATGGATGGGCATTGGATTTGGAATAAGGAGGCCAATTATATCTTCACTCTGACATTTATTAGCTAAAGTGATATTGGATGAATCACTTAGTTTCTTGAAATTTTAGCTTTCTTATCTGTAAAATGGGCATAATAATATTCCTGCTATTTATTTCATGTGATTATTGTGAAGGAAGTACTTTGCAACCTGAAAGGGCTACATACAATTGTAGAAATGGATGTAACCATGTTATTCCTTTGCTCCCAAATCATCAGATGCTCCCTTTTGCCTCTAGGATAAAGTATCAACTGTGCAGCCTGTCATTTAAAGTCCTGGACAATCTAGTTCCTACCTGCCTTTTCATTTTTGTCTGAAATTAGTTCCTTTCACAAATGATATATCCCAGATGCACTGGACTATTAGGTATTCTCCAAATTTGACAATCCACAGCCTACTTTTACGCATTTGCACAGACTATTCCCCATGCCTAGCACGTGCTTCCTCTCAGGTTCTTTGCCTTCCTTTAAGACTTAACTCAAATGCTATCTTCTCCAGAAAGCCAGCCCTCATTCTCCTTGGTTGCTGTTCTTTTCCTCTTCAAACTACTGAATTTTATACTTATGTGTGTGCATGTTGATTCCTACTCTTCCAGTTGTAAGCTCCTTGAGGCTTATAGTTATAGGACTGCTGTGTGTGTGTATGTATGTGTGTGTGTGTGTGTGTGTGTGTGTGTGTCTGCACATGTGTGTGAGCGAGTGCGTGCATGTCTATAGCCTGGTACAGTTCCTTGAACACAGTAGGTTTTTAATAAATACTTGTTCAATTTAATTTAATTCTTATTATCAGTGACTAATGGAGTAAAATTCCTTAGTAGGTGAGCACAAGTGGAAGAGTTAGCCTCAGCAAGTTGGAATTTTTAAGGTATAGAGAATGGGAAATGAGGGTTATCTCAACAGATGACTTCCATTTTCTGAGCTGAGTCAGAAATAAAGATATTGGAATTGGGGGAAGAGGGAGTGGCTAGGGGCTTTAGAAGAGAGAGGTCCAGAATAATTGCTGTGGAGAGTATTAATCAGAGATGAATAAATTGATTATTGTATATTGATGTGGGTCAGCCTGTCATTGCATGCTCTTGACTGAAGGCTGAGATACCCTTAAAAAATTTCCTGGTCACATATTTGTCATTCTGAGTCATCAAAGGAGGGTTCAAATGCTGGAATTATTCACAGAACTAAGTTAATTTCTTTTTTTTTTCAGAATTTGGCTGGAAGGTCCTCTGAGACTTTGGGAAAGGACAACAGTTGTTACGAACTCCATTGACAACCTGTGTCACAGCAACATACTCATGCTTTTCTGGCTAAGTCCCACCCCCATCTTTTTTCTTTTTTTTTTTTTTTTGCCCAGGAACTGTCCTCCTTATGCTTTTCTGCAATTCCTTTTAAGAGGCAAGCCCACTATTTGCTAGAGCCCCTGCTCTCCCTCTTCACTTCTTTTTCTTAGAATCACTGTTTCCATCAAAGTTCAACTCAAAGCACCTAATCTCCCCTGCTGTTATTGCCTCCCGCCATCCCAGCCTTTTTTTATCCTGAATTCTTCACGACGCCATCTCAGGAGAGATAAGTCATGTGCTTTAAGGACAGCCATGCCTATATTGGCATTTATTCTCAGCCAACTATTGTTTGGGATAATAGATAGTATGCTATATGTTATTTCTCCTTCTTAAATAGAGCTCATAGCCTGTTAATTGGTAATAACAAAATTTGTTGATCTGTTTAATCACCTAGCTGCCCAGAATAAAGCAGGGAAGGAGACTATCCCTTCATTGACCTATGGACCATGGTGTTCCTGGGCAAAAGACTAATAGGGAGTCAGCATGCATGCTCACAGCTCAGCATAGGAGCATCTTACATACTGGATACTACAACAAATGATTTGTACTGAGTGAGTGCCCTCATTGACACTTACAGTGAGAGTATAACAAGTATGGTAACAGAGAAATAGATTGAATCACAATTAGGGTGGTGTCCAGTGGGGTCTCATGCACATTTGATATTAATGGGTCACAAAGCTGGGGCTCAGGATTGGGTATTCTGAATGGTGCTATTGTTTTAGGGGTTGTGAGAATGGACTGTATGGTGCTAATTTCCACCTGATCCTATGTATTTTTTAATCAACACCTCTAGGTTTGTAAGTCTATCTCATTCCACCATTTCCAATACCTTGTAATTTGACCCTGAGCACTAATTGCCAGATCTTTCAAGCTAATATTAATGACTGGCAATGTCACTTCAAAGGATGGATCACCATGACTCTTTGTTGCTTAAATTATTTGGCTCTTCAGGGAACAAAGAAGGGGGGCATGTCACTGCACTGGGAAATAGATTTAATGAGACCTACTTCAAAGTGCTGCTTGTTGTTTTTTTGTCCTCATTTCCAGTGGGAATGGCAGGTCCACAATATAGTCCAGAATGAGAAGCACAGTAAAACTCAATTTCCATCAAGGGCACTGCCATTCTTCCACTCTCCCAGACTCACAACTTCGGTCTACTCTTGCTACCTCTAAGCAGGTCATCCCATTCAGTGTAGCCAACCAAGAGCCTCCAATTCTTGTGCCCTGGGCTATGCTTTGTGGCTCATCCTCAATTCTTACTCTCTCACCCCACCATCCAATTGATTGCCAGGTCTTTTCTGTTCTACCTCTACAACATCTTTGATATCCATTCCTTTGACTCCACTCACATGACCAACACCTCAGTTCAGGTCCTTGCGGCTTCTTACCCAGATTGTTTTAATCACTTCCTAATTGGTCTCCCAGCCTTGAGTCTCTCCTCACTGCAATTCATCCATTGCACAGCTACCAAAATGATTTCCCTAAAGCATAGAGTTTAAATATATTACTCCTTCTCAAAAACTTACCTCTTACCTCTAAGATCAAATACATATTTCTCTATTTGGCTTTTAAAACTCTTCACAACCTCAAACCAAGCTACTTTTTCAGCTATTTGAAAGATGAGTTGTTCCTTCAACTCCTGGCTTGGCTTCTGATAAGTTAGGATTTCAACAGGTTTCATCCTGTGCCCTTTCATGCACTCTATATAGTTCAGCCAATCTGGCCTTTATGCTGTTTCTTACAAGTAGAGTTCCATCTTTCATCTCTGTGCCTTTGCACTAGTTTTCTCCTGTACCTGGAAAGTTCCCCTTCTTCATGTCTGTCTCTTAGAATTTTTAGGCTTCCATCAAGACTGAATGCAAAGGCCACCTGATCTCCCCTAGCTGTTAGTGCCTCCTTATTACCTATATTTATTTTGTATTTGTATAACCTCCAATAGAATATAAGCTCCCTGAGGGCAGGGACTTTTGTTTTTGTCTTTGCATTCCTAGTGCAAAGCTTGACACGTAGTAGGTGCTTAATGCCTGCTTGTTGATTGATTGATATAAATTATAATTTGTAGTGGCACTGTGAGGCATTAGGCTACTCACCACTTCTTTGAATTTCAATTTTCTCGTTTGTAAAATGGGGAGAACAATAGAGGGAGCATCTAACCTTGCAAATGTAGCTCTGAGGATTTGTCAGTACATGTTAAAGAGCTGTTATTATCAACATTATGTAGAAAATGAGAATAGTAATTACAAAAAGAAAGAAATTCAGAACTAGAAGAGACAGTTTAGATATCATTTAGTCCAACTCCTTTAATTTTAAAAGTGAGGAAACTGAGTTCTAGAGCTGGGAAGTGACTTACTCAGAGTCACACAGTGAATTAGAGCCAAATCAAGGATGAGAACCTAGGTATTTAGACTCATTTTGGGATAGTTCTGCCTGGAGGCAAGTAATGACTTAAATCTTAAAGCAAAAAAATCAGTTAAATCTCAACTACACACACACACACATACACATACACCCACCCACACCCACACACACACACACACACACACAAGCACGTAAACATTAAATGACAGGGCCAAAAAGGATGTTGGAGGTCAACTACTCCAATTGTCTCAGGTAATTGAGGTCTTGGAGAGGAAGTAACTCGCCCAAGTTCTCACAGTGAATTAATGGCTGGGGAATGAGTCGAAACAAAGTCTCTGGAATCCCATTCACTCTTGCTACTACATCACAGGTATCTGCTCCACCTATCAACTATTTCTGAAAACGAATCCTCCAAGGATGGTACAATTCTCCCGGCAGGGTCTGCACTTTGGTTTCCTCTTTTGTAAAATCAAGAGGTTGAACTACATGACAGACATTCCTAAGGTTCCTTCCGGCTCTGACATTTTAAGATCTATGATTCTAAAGTCCCTTCCAGCTTTAATAACCTAGGTTCTGTGATTCAGAGGTCTATATAGTTTGTGCTCTTTGATCCTTAGGTCTCTTCTCATATGCCATGGGTCCTTCGTTGTGTTCACTTGGGATTTGCCTCAGTTTCCGGGCTTCTTCAGGGAATCCCACAGAAATAGTGAACTTCTCTTTGGGAGGGAGCTCTGGCACATGAACACACCCTTTCTTAGTCTTGGAAACAGCTCAAAACAGGAGGGACTGAAAGGTTGACAAACAAAAACTAACCTGAATCAGACCCGCAGCAATCCTTTCCCCCTTCATTTAGGACTGAAAAAAGGGGCACCTACCTCCTTAGGAGACATACACACACGGCACTTGTGGAACACACGCAGCCTCTCTCGGTGAAGGCTGGAACTTGCTGAGATCCTACTAACTTCTCAGAAGCCAAGCCAGGCGTTGAAGAAGCAACTCATCTTTCAGTTGTTAGTGATGATGATGTAATCTGATTCCTGGATATTTCCCCTCCTTGCCCCGCCCCTGAGGCCTAGAGTCCCATTCAGGAGCACTGTGGGGAGAGGGGTGTTTTTCCACAAAAAGTACCTGATACTTAAGGAGAGGCAGAAGTGATCTATTACAGGCGAATGACCAGAAATACAAAATGTGCGGATATTATCCAATACATCTTATGGAAGTGGTTTTCTTAATTAGCCAGATGAAATAACTTTTTACAGAGGAAAACTCAGTCATGAATAGGTGAAGCCCCAGGCATAACACCACACACCTATTTGCTAAGGAAACTTGTGGAAACTATTTTCCATACTGGGGCCTCTGTTTCCTGTAAAATGAGGGGTTTGGAAAAAAATTAGGTCCCTCCCAGCTCTAGGATTCTATGAGTCTAAGGTTTATAGATAGTATGAAAGATTTGTATTGTTGTAACCAAAAGACAGCTGTGTCCTGAGATACATGCTTAGCATATTCTATACCTTACATTTATATAATATGCACTTTACTTGTGGTAGGGCCGACAGAGCGTTAGAGCTAAAAGAGACTTTAGAGATCATGTAATTTAACCATTTTACTTTAAAGATGAGGAAGCTAAGGTCAAAAATGTTAAACACATACAATGGTAGATTTGGGATTTGAACCCATGTCTTAGGGTCATAGATTTAGAAATGGAAGAGACCTTTGAGGTCACTTAGCTCCACCACCTTCATTAGAGATGAAGAATCTGAGGGCTGGAGAATATCCTGGCGAAAATCCCCTAGGCTGTAAGAAGGAGGCTGGGATTTGAACCCAGGCCTACTGACTCTAAGTCCAACATTCTTTCTATTCTATCACACTGCTTCTCACATTTGTAAAACCCACCACAAGTCAAGAATGCCCCTATTTTGTGTTGGAAGTTTTGGAGGAGTGTCTTTAAACAGTACAGGGAGATATTTGGGGAAGGTGGTGGCTACATCACAGGCAATCACCAAGAAAGGAAAAAGATTCCACACAGCTTTCCTGCCTCTAAGTCTAATGTACCTTCCATTACATTATACTGCCTTAATTATTTCATTTGATCTTCTTAAGTCCTGTAATGGAGATGGGGCAGGTATTATACCCATTTTCCAGATGAGAACATCGAGTTTTGGAGAAGTGGTAGAATTGAAAGTGAAACAGATTTGGTGTCAGAGAATCTGAGTTTGAATACCATTTCTGACATTTTAATCAACCCATCAATCGACAAGTATTTATTATGTCCTTGTGTAACCTTGGAATGCCTACTTTTCAGAGTTCTTGGCATTGGATTAGATCAGTGGAGGCACTTGCCAGTGCACCTGAACCAGATTAAAATATAGTCAGGAACTATTTAACAAAATAAATGAAAATATAACAGAACATAGATAATGTTGATATGTGGTTTTCTAAGTCAGTATGTGACCCATAGGGATTATTTACGATTTAGTGGCCTCCATTTCTACTTGAATTGGATCTCATAAGATTAGATGATTTTGAAGCCCTGTTAGCTTGAAACCTAGAATCGTATGCCTTCGGCTTGAACTTTAGGCCACACTTTGAATAGATAAGATTTTTCTGTTTTTCCCTTGGCTGCTATTTACACACACAACTCTTGGCAGTAATCTGTTACAGAGGAGTATCTTCATGTAAGAGCAGGCATTTGATAAGGGGTGTGGTTCCAGACTCCTGGCTATGGAGTAACAACGTAAGAATGGTTCTGTGCAAAGTTAGCCTAAGTGACTCCTAATTTAACTGTGCTTGACCTTTGGATACATATGCAGCCAGCCTGCAGAGAATGGCTGTCTGGCAATACCTTTGTGCATGAGTTTTTTTAGACATGGGGAAAAGCTGAAGTGATGTGAAATCTATCTCATCATATGTATGTTGCTGTTGTTCAGTTGTTTCAGCTGTGTCCAACTCTTTGTGACCCCATTTGGGGTTTTCTTGGCAAGAATACTGCAGTGGTTTGCATTCCCTTCTCCAGCCAATTTTACAGATGAAGAGACTGAGGCAAACAGGGTTAAGTGATTTGACCAGGGTCACACAGTTAGTACTCCTAGCTAGGTTGGGAAGTGGATACAGTACTGGGCCTGGAATCAAGAGGACCTAAATTCAAATACAACTTCAGATACTTACTTGCTATATGATTATAATTATGCCCCTTTTGCCACATTTCTCCCATCATCTGTAACTCTCATCTGCAAATACATATATATATATATACATAAAATCATTCTATATACACACTTCTTTCAAAAAATCAATTTCACAAATATGAGATGGAGGATGTGTGACTAGATACAACATTCTTCTACTCCTACTGGCTCTGCCTAAGATACTTACTTGCTGAGTGACCCTGGATAAGTCACATGAAAGCTGTCTGCTTCAGTTTATTCAGCTGTAAAGTGGAGATAACAATAGAACCTACCTCCTAGGGTTGTTTTGAGGATTAAATGGAAGTAATACTTGTGAAACAATTAGCACAATGTCTGATGTATACTAGACTCTTAATAAATGCTTGCTTTCTTCCTTCCACCCGACTATTGACTGATTGCCTAGATGGGTTTTTCAGTATAAGCATTTTCTCTCTCTCTGCTCTGGGATATAGAATTTTCTCATGCTTGATCTGCTCATACAGCTTCATTCCTGCAGTCCTATCCCTGCTCTATGGGGCAGCTGCATTTCCGTTTTCGTACCTCCACGTGCTTTCCCTGTAGCCTCCCCTTTTCCTGCTCCATGTATCTTCTGTTTCTCACTGGGAGATGGGTTCCTTCTTGTATCTGGCTTCTGCCCGATTCATTGGAACTGACTGACTTGTCTTTTATGGGCCACCTAAGGGCATGACTAATCGTGCTTCCTCCAATGCTGTTTCCCACTTTCTAATTCACTCCTGGGACCTGTTAGCACCTCATAAAAGGGATCACCTGGTTGGGCTAGTTTTTATAGTTGGTCTTAGGTCCTTTTTCTGAGATTATTTCCTGGGCTTTCATAGACTAACTCTTTTACATATCTATTAAGTTTAAAGCTGACATTGCGTTCCATTATTGCCCTGTTTATTTGTGTCCTCTTTTGAATTTCTTTCTGTTCTCTTTTGCATCTTTTAAAATATTTCATTGACACTCCTTGATTTTCTTTTTTTTTGGAGATATGATTATAATTATGCCCCTTTTCCCACATTTCTCCCACCATCTATAACTCTCATCTGCAAAATAAGGAAGTAAATAAATAACGCAACCTTTCCCTTATAATAAATCAGTATGATTAAGCAAAATATATCTGCACATTGGCCATTTCTAAAACTGTATGTCTTGTTCTGCATCTTTAATCTTCACTGCCAAATGATGGAAAGCATGATTTATCATTAGCCTTCTGAAGTCATGTTGTTGCATTACTCAAAAAGTACTTAAGCCTTTCAAAGCTGTTTTCTTTTTCATTATAGCCATGGTACAAATTGTTCTGCTCAATTCACTCTACACAAAGTTTATCGTGGTATATTAAAATTTTTTAAAAATTTATTTAATTTTTAATTTATGGAATAAAACATTTTCATAACACAATATAATAAAAAGATATGATTGCACATGAAACTGCAAATCCACTAAGTACAACTTGCTATTCCTTTTAAATATATAATGAAGTTATAATGTAAATTTCTTTTTTTTCTTTTTTCTCTTCTCCCCTCCCCCAGAGATGGCTACCATTAGACACAAATATGTATGTGTGTATATATTTGTTTGTATATATATATATATATATATGTAAAATCATTCTATATACATACTTCTTTCAAAAAATCAATTTCACAAATATGAGATGGAGGATGTGTGACTAGATAACAACATTCTTCTACTCCTACTGGCTCTGCCTAAGAAGTCAGAGTGGAAGGGAACAAAACGTGCCAGGCAAATCCCTAGCCTAGTCCTAGCCCCAGAATCAGTCAGAGAAATGGGGAGTCCTTCCTTTTGAGAGTATTTATAGTCTCAGTTCCTGCTCTCTAAGATCCCTAAGATGAATCTTTGGAAGTAGGCGCAGCTTCTAAGGGAAGGTTAGGCTGGGAAAGGGTTTATAGGTCATCCTAACACAGTACCAGAAGTGAATTAGGGGAATTCACCTGGGGCCCTGGTGAGGCAGCCCTGGAGCAGGGCTGCAAGGACCTTAGAGGCTGAATTCAGTCAAGACAAGCAAGTTTATTAGTACATACTTATAACTAGGAAGAGCCAATTCAGGAGAAAGGACTATGGTGGACTGGGGTGAATCATCCTTGGTTAGAGTGTGGTGCCAGGGATTTGGCCATGTGGTAGAATTTATAAGGGAGCCAAAATGGGTTAGAGCTATTCCATCTTTCCTCAATTATTAGTCAGGGTGTTAGTCATGGTTGAGACTTGATACTCAGTCAGCCCCATTGAATTCCCAAGGGGATGTTGTTTGGTTGATGTGGGTAAGCAGAGTAGGCTCAGGTCCTGACATGATAATTAGTGAACCCCATGGTAGTGGGAAAGCATCCTTATAGTAATGGGGCAGGACTATTATCACCGCCAGGGAGAGTGCCTCAGGGTCATTACAACTATTTTGGAGTTTCAGTAAACTATAAGTTCAATATCAATCAATGGTATAACATAAAAATTAAGCCAATGTAATCACAAAATCCAATGATCTCAGACTGTATTAACATCTAATGTCAGAGCACCTGAATTTGAGTCCCAACTGATCAAGTGATCTGAGGTCATATCACCACTGAGCCTGGTATCCAGAATTATGAATGAATGAAAAAGCGTTTATTAAGTGCCTATTATAAACCAGACACTGTGCTAGGCACTGGTAATACAAATAGAAAAGTGATATAGTTCCTATCTTCAGGAAATTTATATTCATTCATTCATTCTAATTTATATTCAGTTAACCTATACAGGTCCAGAGAAGGGTAGACAAGGATAG